GTCCCTGAAACGTTCTTCTTTCCCACCTGAACGGTGAACGAACGAAGAGTGAACGATGTGCGAACGCTGAACGCAACTTGGTGAACGATGTGTGAACGGTTAACGCAAAACGCGAACGGAGCGCGAACACGAGCGCAAAGTGAACGGTGAACGCATGAGGAACGATTTATTCGGAATGCCTCTGATCTTTTCCTTGCATTGAAATTATTTTTTATTTCTAATTTCAGGTGCTTTAATATAAATATACAGTAGATAAAGAAATAAAAAAAAGATAATAATAAAAACATTTTTCTGTACATATATGCAAGTAGTATAAGCCGCCTGGATGGGTGGGTCAACTGAGTGCACTTTTGGGGCTGAGGGGGATAGGTGGGTCAAGGGAGTTCAGCCCCTGTGTGGGATAGGTGGGTCAAGAGTGCAGCCCCTGGGGGGATAGGTGGGTCAAGAGAGTGCAGCCCCTGTGGGGATAGCCGGGTCAATTCATTACATATAGTCCCCTAAATACGGGGGTGTGTTTATTCTATGTTTACATTATACGCTGCTACTACGATTTTGGCAGCGATTTAAAAGAATGTCATTATGACGTCACGCTTTCATTCACAGTCTAGACGGTCTAGCCAGCCAGCCGGTTCAAACTGGATTTCCTCAAAACAATAACAAACAAGAAACATATTGACGCAAGCGTCAAAAATCGGCCGCAAACCAATTATTAATTCTTTCATAATACAATTAGAAACTAAATTCTTATATTTATCTGTTAATATATATCCCTATGACATTAAACATTTGAATGCGACATTCCAGGGTTTTCTTCAGTACATAATACCTGTACATTTCTACATGTACAATGTATTTAAGCAACTTACTCATAGTCCTCTGCGTCCCCGCACTCAGATTCATTTGTACAAACGAACTCTGGCGGAAGTTTGATGTTTAAGTAGTTTTAACATTTAACCATCAAAACTAACGTTTAAACTTATCTAATTAGAGATAGTTTAACTTTAAATAAAACGTAACAACTATGTGGGGCTCCTCGCTCGCTCAGAGGATGTTGAAATCCCCATATTCCCTCTAGATCCGCCACTACATTTTTTCTCTATCTTGTTTTGGTGTGAGATGTGGCGGGAAAAGGCTTGGCATATTGTAAAACGCGCTTTGTCCTTGTCTGTTGGAGAAAAATCTCCTAATATTCTGTCTGATAATAAACTAAGATTAAGTCATATTTTTGAAAACTTTCCGTATTAAAAGTACATTGTATATTTATATTTACACGTCATTTTAAATTATATATACAACAGATCCTGTTGAAGTAGAGAAAGTAAATTTGTTTATACATGTATATTATATACAACAGATCCTGTTGAAGTAGAGAAAGTAAATTTGTTTATACATGTATATAACGCGGCCCTTGCTTTAGACTATGCCCAACATGTGTGCTTATTTCTCCGCACTTCAGTTACGTCGGAGTTTGTCAATCAGGATTGGATGAAACATTTAACCCATTATTTATAAAATTTTAATTTTATGATTATTGTGCGTTTTTGTTTAACATTTAAAAAATCTGTCTTAATATTCTATTACATGAATGTTAAATATTTTTTATTCAAATTGTTCTAACTCCGCAGAAACGCACGGCGACTTAAAACTTTCATATCATATAACCGACCGCCTCCTGGCGGCCGGTAATAACACAAGACAAAACAAAGAACACAGCAATTTATTCAAGTCAAAAAATACAACAATTTACTTCTTCTTCTTCTGTGCCTTATCGGTCATCAGGGATAGTTTCCTCTTGTTTGTAGTACTGGGTCCTGGAATCTCTCTGTTTTCTTCCTTTTTTTTCTCTTTTTTGTCTCCTACTTTCACTAAAGGTTTGGTCTGGTGGGTCCCTGAAATCTTGGGTTCTTGAGGCTTTTTCTCCAGTTTTTAGACGGGGTCACGTGACCCCGTCTTTTAGTTTACTCTCAGAGGTCTAAAAATAGAAAAAGGAAGCGGTGGTGATAACACATGAATTAAATCTACGCATACGAAAGAGTGCAGAAATTGTGTCGATCAAAACATAAACATTTTGTATCAAACTGAAGAAATTGATATGAACCTTTCTCTAACTCAACTAATAAAGTATTTTGATAATTTTAAACTAAAAATATTAACTGTAAATAACACTAGTAGACAAAGTACTATCCTGCGTATTATTATGGCTGTGTACGCATCATCCATTGTTTACTTCCGGAAAATTTATTAGTTCGTACCTGATGAAATTCGGAGAAGTTCAGAAAGGTTTCCAGACTGAGCAATTATTAAAATTTCTCTTCAAATCAAATTAAATGAAAAAAGTGAATGTACAGTGTATATTTTTCATAGTTTTGTTTTTAGAATGTTAATGAAAAAATAAAAGTTGTTATTAAAACTCGTTAAAAAAATCACACTTGTGAAATCTAGCATGAAGATTATTTTGACCCCGTCTTTCAGTACTGTCTCAGTACTTTGATTGTATTTCTTTGACGAATTGTTGATCCTCCTCATCCTCTGTACACTGATTAGCCCAATGGCCAAATTTCCCGCACTTGTAGCACAGATCTTTCTTGGGGCAATCTGGGGCCCAATGCCCTAATTCTTTGCAGATGAAGCATGGATCCGTCTGTCTAGTTTTCTTTTTTTCTCCCGATTCCCCTTGTCCTTCTTTTTTCTGGTAAGTGCTTCCTCCTCCTCCTCTCATTTTTTCTTGCATGTTAGTAACTTTCACTTCTAATTTGGATAATTTAGCACGAATCAAACAAAATTCACTGGCGTTGTAAGTTCAGATCAGTCAGCTTGTTTTCATGATCACCCACCTTCTCAGCAATATAATTCAGCTTGTTATCATGATGACGCACCTTCTCACCAATATAATTCAGCTTGTTGTTAAGATCAATGACCTTGTTGTTCATATCATTCATCTTGTTGTCAAGAGCGGACAGCATGTTAACAATTCCATCCAGAGTTGTACTTAGGATCCCCATATCTTCTTTATTCGCATATTCTGGTAGATTATACATCCCCAAATCTAATCCCACTGCATCCTGTGACTCTGGCATGGGGGCTCCTACATACCCTTGAGGTGTCACATAGCTGGGGTTGTCTGTAGTATTCATCATTGCTTCTGCCATAATATTTTTTTCACGTCTATCAAGTTCGAAATGTCAAGCAAGACTGATCCTCAAATCCCAGCTCCCCTATATATACCTGCTGTGTGCCGTGTGCAAAATATACCTGGGCTTTTATACTTGTTGCATCATCTTTTTATACTTATTGCATCATCTTTTTATACTTATTGCATCATCTTTTTATATCTGTTGCATCATCTTATTATACCTCTTGCATCATCTTTTTTATACCTGTTGCATCACCTGTAAGGGGGGCCGTGTGCAAAAAAAAAAACCTTTTACCTACGTTTTATACGGAGGGGTATAAATGATCCTTTCATCACAATCGACTATCATGTCAACCCTGATACACACTCACTCTCTGATTTTAAATGGGTATGATTGTTTAGTACGATGGGCACAAAACCACCAAGAATCTCTACCCCCGGAGGCAGAACAAGTATTTCAGGAAGCGAGCACTATTATGGAAACCCTTCAGGACTTATGGTTACAATGCCTAGCCTTATCACATCATGCGACGACCATGGGGAGACTAGCTACCATACATTTTCTATGTCGACATATAAAAACAGTTCTGCCCCAGAAATGGTACGGACTGAACCTGACCCGTTATTTCGGAAAGCCTTACAGTTTCCTGACTCATCCCCAAGCGGCCAAAGTGATTTTACTGTGGCAGGACATAGATGCGATGGAGAAAGTATGTATTCAATACGGAATGAAATACCTGGAAATTTCACACAGGCTAGGAAATCAGTGACTTTTAATACCAGCCTTAATCAAATCTACGAATTACCCCCCGAAGACCGGAGAAGTCCTTGGATGCAATTAGTAGCTATCGAATACGATTTCGGAGGAGAATTCGACAGTTAGAAGCATTGTTAGTTTTTAAGAAATAAAATAAAAATCTAGTAATACTACATCAGTGTTATGTTATTGTATGACGTCATATACACTCGGGTTCGGGATCGGGTTCCCTGAATTTCAGCCCCTCCGAGCGCCCAGTGTCATTCCTGCCTAGCTGATTGTCAAAGAAAAGAAGTAAGAAGAAAAAGAAGAAGACGATGTCTGGCGGAAATTTTTTCTATGAGGACTTGTTTCTTATTCCGGGTATATCATTTGAAAACCTGCTGATCCTCAGACGTTTAGACAACAACCGAGAACTGATGCGAATAAACTTAGCGAGATTCCAGATAAATGACAGTCATCATAGGAGGCCCCACCCCTACAGACGGGAGGCACCACGCTCACCCCCACCTTCGACACCCAGACCAGCCACACCGACACCCAGACCAGCCACACCGACCCCCCAGGGGCAGGCCAGGAACCAGGGGAGGATTCCCCCCTGGGGGCTTGCCGTCACCACGCGTCAGATTTTCTGCAGTTTATGCATGACAGAGGGGGAAGACAGCAATTTTCTGTGTGGGCGCTGCTTGCAGCGCCCAGCCTGCTTACTTTGTGCGGCCCGGATCGTGGAGCGAAACCTATGCTGTCCCCTTTGTAGAAATACAGAAGCAGCTATACATTCCGGGGGCAGAGAGACACGGAGGAAGATGACAGTTCCAACGAGGATGGCATTCAAGCCTGGCATATAGTTCGACGTCTGCTGAGCCAGTAAAGTTTTACCTGGACCAAATCCTCAAACCAAAACCAGAAAAAAAACAAAAAAAATTAAAAACCAAAAACCAGAAAAAAAAAATTACAAAACTAAAAAAAAAACAAAAAGTGTTTTTTTACCAATACGGCTCTTTTAAGAGCCACCAAATCTTGTAGTGTTCAAAAAGATGCCTACTTAAACAGTCAAAAACGAAACGTATGTGTGTGTCTCTCAAGTTATAACACCAGGTCACTTTTTTCAAAAAAAATTTTATGTCTCCAAGTACGCCGTAATTTTCTATGTAAATTAGGCGGCCATTGTCGAATCTCGGCAAAGATTTTACCCCAGTGAAAAAGGTTTGTAATCCACCATGTAGGTCATTTAAAGTTGTTTCACATTGTTTATGATTGTGATTATGTTATCCCTCACCTATATGTTTAATGTCAGCTATGCTAAATAACCCAGTTCTGTGTAATTTGAGAGAATGTTTTTGTCATGTGCTAAAAGTATGGCCTACTATTCATGTCATCATTTAAAGTCGATCCTAAATAAATCTGTCTTTTAAAAAATACATTTTTACAAATGACATTTAATTGATTAGAGTATAGGTATTCATATATATATATATAAATATATATATATATATATATATATATATATATATATATATATATATATATATATATATAAGAGATATTATTTTTGTATTACATTTATAAGAGGTATTGTCTCATGTAATTCAATAACAAAAATTCTATACAGTCCTCAAACCTGGAAGATATGTTTTGTTCCTAACCAATCCATTCTCTAAGTGAAGTGAAGCCTGGCTGCTGGTCTTCCTTTGGGGAAATACACAGTGAATCAATTATGATAAAAAACAAAAACTTGAATCTTAAAAAAGTTTTCAATGAGATATCATTTTAATTTATTTCATTATTATTAGTAAGATAATTATTTTAAATGTTTATATTTTTAAAATGGATAAAAAGAAATCTGATAATGGAAAATCAATACTATAAAGTTAGCAAAGTTTTGACTCCAATTACAAATGAATTTCTGAATTTTCCATTAAAATATTTGACATTATATCACAGGGGAAAGAAAAAAAAAACTTCTTGAGTGTTTCTACTGCCTCCCCCCAGAGATCTGCTTATGAGTGCATGGGGATTACAGTGGACCTTCATCTCCGGTTTAAAAGAGACTTTAGAGTATAACAGATAAAAAGGTACTTTTTTTTTTTTACATCACATGAAAACACACACAATTAATGATGAAGAATGTACACATGTTTTTCATAAGTGTGTACAAATTGTTCAATATAATGTCTATAATGAATCCAATTTCCTTGGGCTAGTCCACAGCCAATCTTGTAAGGAAAAGCATAAGTCTGGTAAGGTAAACTTTCCCCCATTTCTTGTAAACAAGTTTGAAACCATTCCTCTCTGTTTTGTGGGGTATCCTGATAAGTGGAAATTCTTTTAGGTCGGTGACTTGCTTTTCCATAATCCCATTGAGCTAGTAAACAAATGACCACAGGGGTGTGTGAGGGAAACACCTTAATAGTGCCTGGAATTCCTCTATCTTCTTCTACGGTTAAATTTCTAGTCCCTAGAGGTCTGCGAGTGGCATAGAGATTAGCTTGTGGGAATTTCTCTGCAATACTTTGACTCAATCCATGAGCTTTTACAGTTAAACAATTACATTGATGAACAATAGCTTCTACCTCACAGTTGAGTAAATCACCTTGTATCTCCTGGAGACTCATGATGTAAAATGAATCTATTTTTTAAAATCACCCTTGTTTTTATAGAACAAGAAACAACACAATAAAACAAGTTTTTTTTTATTCAGGTAAATCTACAATCTCTTGGAACTAATTCTTTGTTTCTCACATCAGGTTTTAGAACTCCATATTCTTTATAGTCACCTTGTCTATAAAAGGTTCTTTCCAATTCTGGGGTACTGTGAGACATCTCGAAACAGGTTAATTTATGAATCTTTCTGTACATGTATCTCCCTTGAACTTTGTTTTTCATTTGAATGAATCCTCTCACATGATGAAGTTTTCCAGTTTCTGGATGCCTTTCTTTTTGTAAGATCAAGTATTGATAATCACTTCCAATGATTTGATCTACATCTTCCTGTCGGCACCCAGTTAAATTAAATATCCAATTATTGGCTATTCTACCTCTGTCTTGTTTTAAATAAGCAATGTATCCATTGCCTGTATTTTCTTTCTGTTTATTTTGATAATGAGCCTTAATATCCTCCAAGAGTTTGTTGTTTGGTCTTATGTTTTCTTTTTCCTCCTGAGGTTTATATTCTACAGGATGTTCTTCCATCAAGGGAGGTGGTATAAATACTGCAGGATGTTCTACCATCAAGGGACTTTCTATGTAATCTCTCGCATCATTAGAATAACCCTTTTCTGGACACAATTGGTTATATTCTTCTTGAGAAATGATCTCAATAGTCCCATCATCATGTATTTGAATTGGTATACCTCTGTCTACATCTTTCTCTGAAAGAACTCTCTGTCCAAACTGAATTTTACTCATTCCTTTACTCATTTCTTTACTGGAGGTGTTACCCATAATGAAGCCAGTCCACAACTGAGGTGTGTTTTGTACCATGTTTACTATTTATACCTTTTTTTTTATTGTATCTATTTTTAACCAATCTTTTAAAACCCCTCAACACTTTTTGTTTTGTGTTTTTGAAAAAAAAAATCTATGGTTAAAGGGAGATAACCTATTTTTAAAAATGACAAAAAACCCAACAATTTTTTTTTCTTTTCTTTTTTATTGAGATCTAACAATAAATAACAGTTCAATCTTTTATTTATTTATTCACATCTTGACCAGCTCACATTCAAGGTTTTCAACTCCATTCTTCTTTTTTGTTTGAGGAGCGTTGTGATCCCCAATAGGTTCCCAGCTCTTCAGGTGGCATAGTGGACATTTAGGATCCTTCACAGCCTCATTCAGGGGTAAATATTCATTCCTAGGTTCCGGATCCAAGGTTTTCAACTCTATTCTTCTTTTTGTTTGAGGAGCGTTGTGATCCCCCTCCATAGGTTCCGTCATTCTTTTTTCTAATAAGGCAAATTTATCTTTATCCATTTCCATGTCTTCTAATATTCTTGGAATTCGTTTGCCAAACTGTCGTTTACTCAATTACATACCCCACCAAACTGATGAGGATCGTCTTTAACACCTTGTTTTTATACCCCCCCCCCCACCTTGAATTGCATCATCTTTTTTATACCTATTGCATCATCTTTTTTTATACCTGTTGCATCATCTTGGCAAGCGATTCAAGATTATGACGTCACGCTTCACAGTCAAAAGCTCAGTCTAGCCTAACCAGTTCAAACTGGATTTTTGTACTGAAAACACTAACACATAAATAATAATAAGAACACAGATTTTGATTTTTCATTCTTTATTTGTAACAACAAACAACAACAAACAACTCATTTACAATACATTTTGATAAAAACATTGACACTTTTGTCCATGACCCGTAGGTAATTTATGATAAGTGTTTTTAAACCAATTCGCCACATATCTGTCCCTTTGTAAAGCCGTACTCTGGTCAAAGGGGAATAGCCACTCGTCGGTTTTCTTTCTTTTCTTGTCTCTTTAATGTAAATAATACACGCAATATTGTCCACACACATCGGTATTCCAGTCTTGATAGCGATACGGATTATAAATCCATTGTTGAGCATGACGCTGGATAAAATCTTGAATTTCTTTTTGTAAGGGAGGAAATCCATAAGAATCGAAATATTCCACCACGGGATTGCTCACATATAAACACACCCAATGTTCTCCCGGTCGATCTTGAGGATCCGTATTGACCACCACAGCTTTTTCTCCAGGTCTTAATTGATCCGGTAATAAATCTACAGGATACACGCCTCCAAAAGAACTCTTGAATTCTCTGGATAAGACTTCTCTCAATTGTCCCGTATCCATTTTTAGTAATCAATGCTCACTTCTCTCTGTTTGTTAATTTCTAATAAGTTATCGAATTCTGCATACACCACACAATTGATAGTGGTAGCCGTATTGTTGGTAAACTGCACTTCTACTCTCAGATTTCCTGTTTCTATGATGTGGAATTTATCCGATTGCGCTTCTTGATCTTTAGTGAAATCCCAACCCCATAGAGTGTAGCCGCTTTTATACTCTTCTAGGGTAATGTCTGGAGCCCAATCTTCTCCTAATTTCCCCAGAGCTTGATACAGACTGAGATAGGATCTCAGATATAAATCGTCGTTGAAATTAGGCTCAAAACAACGAGTACTCATGGTCTCTCCGTTGATACTGACATCTAATTTCTTGATCCCAAAGTTTTGGAAATGAAAGGGATTTTTAGTCTGATCTCCGTTAAAGGCCGCATTCTCCACAAAGCCTAAAATGAGACGTTTAGGCATCTGACCTTGAAACAGATGATCCGTAATCTTAGACTGAGTTCCTGTGGGGATGGTAAAGGTTTTCACCTCCACTCTTCTCAAGGGATATTTAGCTCTGTGGGTATTCAAACTTTGATTAATGGCATTCATCATGACTGCTGTGGGTTTGACTTTTCTCACCCACAAGACCATGCTCAATATTTTCATTTTTCCTGTACTTCCTCCTTTGATCATCATGTAGAAAGCAGGTCTAGCTCGATTAAATCGCAAACGGACGTCCACTCCATTAGGTAGAAATCGATCTTGTTGAAACAAATCCAAATGTAAAGTATCCAGCAAACCGATTTTCTAACTGTCAGCAATAGCTTGGTGTCTTTTTCGGAATCCTTCGTTTTTAGAATTGGCCGGTAACGCTGTGAGGATGGGTGCGTTAATGGTCACCGTGTCAGCCGCACCATTTACACCCGGAGTTACATTAAAGGTTTTATTTTGAGCAACACCAAGAGCCTCTAACCCCACTTCGTCCATGTGTCCTGCCGTATCTTTTTCCCACAGACTACAGGCCCTCGTCTGTGTCTTTAAAGTTCTGGGTCGGTAGGACAATAATTTCTCCAGATACGCTTTATAAGGATAAGTATCCGTCCCCGGAGTTATTATTTTTCCATTCAGACTGACATCGATTTCCGTAAACATGGAATGTAAGATATTATTCACGGGACTGGAAGTGCTGTTCGCCCCAGTCAGATTACTTCCATCGTCTTTGGTAAATTTACATACCATTTGAACATAAGTTTGAGATAAATCCAGATAGTGATCTCCTTGTCCTTTGATTTCAAATCCTATGGGAGCGGTGTCTGAATCTAAAGAACTGGAAATAGGGTAATATTCTTCCCATTTCGAGTCTTCTAAAGCAATATTAGTCGGAGGGACTTCAAACAATTGTAAATTGTTCATCCCACACGCACAGGAATCGGGCTGTAACATGATGTGTCTACTAGGATTCAATTTTCACAAATGAACCTTTTGTTCCTTTGACTGGTCTATTTATACTCTCTCTCTCTCTCTCAGTCAAACACATCTTAAATGGCGTTTTCTTTTAGGAATTCCTCCTCCTTGTTTTTTCCTTTTTCTCTTAGGACCTCCTCGGGCTAACATGGGTGTCTTTTTTCTTCTGTTGTTAGTACCTCCTAGATTCATTCTTTGTTTTACCATTCCCGAAGTATTTTTTAGAGCTTGTACTCCGTGAGTTTTGACTGCGTCTTTTAAAGATCTCTTATTTTCTAATACGTCTAATCCCGTTCTAGCAGCAGCAGTCAAGGCGTGTTTAGCTCCGGTTTTCAGTAAATCAGTAAAAAATCCTCGGCCTCTCTGTCGTCTTCTTCTTATTCTTTTTCTTCTTGTTATTTTCATTCCCGATCCTCTCTGTTTTTTCATTCTCTTTCTTCTTCTGTTCTTAGTACTTCCTAGATTCATTCTTTGTTTCACCATTCCCGAAGTATTTTTCAAGGCTTGTACTCCGTGAGTTTTGACTGCGTCTTTTAAAGATCTCTTATTTTCTAATGCGTCTAATCCCGTTCTAGCAGCAGCAGTCAAGGCGTGTTTAGCTCCGGTTTTCAGTAAAAAATCCTTCCCCTCTTTGATAGTTTGGGGGTGGATAATAGGCTGGTGGTGGTGGGGGTGGGGCTTGCTGTTGACCCAATAATCCTCCTACTAGATTGCTGACTAAGGGACCTGCTACTTTAAATAGGGATCCTAAAAAACCGTGTCCTTTTTGACGTAATAAACCTTTATGATAAGTCCAA